CCCCCCCCCACTCACACTCTCTCTCCTTCAAAAATAAACATTAAAAAAATTTTTTTTAATCCTTTTGACATAGGTATATTGAAATTAACAATATTTAACTTTCCACAGCATGTCCTAAACTGTTTAGGTAAACATACACCTATAAGTAAAACACTAATAGATATGATTACTAGCTATTTAAGAAGACGTACCAAAGTCTTTTTTGGTGCATTTCCCAGAACTGCATGTCTCTAGTGACTCTAACAACTGGAAGTCAGGTGGTTTCTAATTCTTTGCTTTCAAAATAACTGAAGGACCTAATCAAATTATCAGCTGATAGACAAATAAAAATAATTTTTGATGACAGACCATTTGATGACAGAGATGCTCACACAATTAAGTGATGCTGGTGAAACAAAGCTCTGTCTACTTCCATCCAATTAATTATGTGAACACATTTCTCAGCACTTCTACCTGTCAGGAAGCAAAAGTTCCTCATTTCCTTCTCAGGTGGCAAGAACCTGTGTGCCCTTGAAGGTCCTTCTAGCCAGACTAAGAATCAAATTGACAGATTAACAGAAGAAAATCAACTTTAATAGGTATATGTACGGGGAATCCACACAGACATGGAAATTCCAAAGTCAGTCAGACAAAATGAGGTATACCTGTCATTCTGAACTAAGGAGAGGGAGTAAGGGTCTGGGATTTCAAGGAAAGGAATGTACTTCAAAGGGTGATAAGAGATGTTTGGTAATTAGATGTGTGCCCTACCATATAGATGGGTCACTTAGATAAAATTTATCTCTGTTAATAACCCTTATTCTTGGAAAGACTCTCAGTGTAGATTCTTCCATGTGGTTAGGGAAGGAAACTACTTCCTCTTGAGCCCACAGGGGCTTAAGTGTCTTCAGCTCAAAATAATCCACACGCCAAAGTGGCACATTCTGAGGGGGCCTATCCTGAACCTCTTCACATCTCTAAAAGAAAAAAGGAAAAAAAAATTGATGCTGAACATTGTCTAACTGCAGCAATGAGCATTATTTATCCAAGAAAGGCTGAACTAAAAGAAAAAAATTAGATTAGCTTCATCCACCTCATTAAAAGATGCATTTCCGGGGAGCCTGGGTGGCGCAGTCGGTTAAGCGTCCGACTTCAGCCAGGTCACGATCTCACGGTCCGTGAGTTTGAGCCCCGCGTCAGGCTCTGGGCTGATGGCTCAGAGCCTGGAGCCTGTTTCCGATTCTGTGTCTCCCTCTCTCTCTGCCCCTCCCCCGTTTATGCTCTGTCTCTCTCTGTCCCAAAAATAAATAAATGTTGAAGGAAAAAATTTTTAAAAGATGCATTTCCAATACGATTTTTTCTTGTTAAATAATTACTCAACATTTTAATACATTTACGTTATTTTACTAACTATATGTTAATTACAATTTAATGAATAGATTTTTTTTAAGTTTTTTAATTTATTTTTTGAGAAGGAGTGTACACATGCACGTGAGCAGGAGAGGGGCACAGAGAGAAGGAGAGAGGGACTCCCAAGCAGGCTCCGCAACGTCAGCATGGGGACCAACACAGGGCTCCATCTCATAAATGGCAAGATCACAACCTGAGCAGAAATCAAGAGTAGGACGCTTAACCAATTCAATCACTCAGGAGCCCCCTAGGAGATATCTTTAAATTCAATTTATAGGCATATATTTGTGGCAGAGACCTGATAGGGTGATTAATATGCACAAAAGACTTTAATGTATAAAAATATATTACCTTCCTAATATATGCATATTACATAAAAATATAATTCATGCACAAAAACACATTACATAAGGATAAAATCTGGCAGGAAAAAGTATAATTCAAATATAAATTTAAATAGAGAAAGGAATATAAAATTTTTCAATGTTAAGAAAAGAGTTTGGGGCCACCTGGGTGGCTCTGTCCGTTAAGCGGCCAACTACAGCTCAGGTCATGATGTCACAGTTTGTGAGTTTGAGCCCCACATCAGGCTCTGTGCTGACAGCTCAGAGGAGCCTGCTTTGGATTCTGTGTCTCCCTCTTCCTCTGCCCCTCTCCCACTCACTCTCTGTCTCTTTCTGTCTCTCAAAAGCTGAATAAATGTTTAAAAAAAATAATAAAAGAGCTTGTTTGTGTCCTTTTATAAATGAATGATGGTAAAAAAATTTTTTTAAATAAATGGATTATGGTAGGTATCAAAGCCGTATGGTATTTAGAGTCCACTAAGAGTGATTTATCAGTTTTATTTAGCATTATAAATCATAAATATTATCTTAGTGAGTAAGGAAACTTATTAATGTTTATTAAAATATTTTTATGAAAGTTAAAAAGTTTGAAACTAGTGGATTTGATGATATCTATGTCTCAACAAAGTGTTTTGTACATAGATAACAGCAAATCAATTAATGTTATTTTCCTTCTCCAGCTGGCTAGTGATAGAGAATAACAAATATTTTTTGCACTTAAGGACTTCACAATGCAGTAAATGAGTTAAGAATAAAAATAAATGTGGTGTGATAAGGTTATGATAAAGCTATGTACAGTGTTCAAACAAAACAGTAGAAAGTCTCCTTCCTAAAAGAGTCAAAAAAAGGGAGAGCTATCTGTTTTCTCTTCCTTCCCCATTTCATCTCTCTTCTCTGTTCCTTTCCTATTAAAAAACAAAACAAAACAAAAAAACCTTCTCTTCTAAAGTCTCAGGATAAGAATTTAAAGGAAATGGTGGAGGCCAGAAAAAAAAAAAAAAAATGGAGTCCAAATAGGCAAGAAGCAGGCAAGGAAGGATAGACCTGATTTTGATTATATCAGCAAACAGGAAATTTTACTCTCTCAATGGACTGAGTACATCTCCAGATCCTCAAGAATAAATGTACAAGATTCATTTTGAACTA